ATATATATATATATATAGTTTTAATAATAGTAAAATGTAAAATCACACGTGTAAAATATTAGAGAAAACAGTTGTGTTAAATGAACTCATTGATTCAAGTATGAATTTCTTTATTTTTAAATACTTTATTGAGTTAAATTTTTTTTACTCTGAATCAAATAAATATAGATATATTTACAAACAAATTTACTTCAAGAAAAAAAAATGAATTTTTTTTTCTAAATAAGATTCTGCGACAAAATGTTATAAGTGAATATCAAAAATTGTGAATTTGAACTTACTCATTTATCATGAAGTTGATCTCTTTTTTGTCACACATAAATCAAAATAATTAACTTTAATATTGTTTTTCTTACTCTGAATAATAAATATAGATTTATTATTTTTCTTACTCGTTCAATCTTATTATTGTTATTACATTTTGTAATTTTAGTATTAATGTATAAATGTTTTAATACCCAATTTAAACTAAGTTTTAAAGATATTGATGATAGATTATTGACATAAATATTATATAAATATAAATACCAAAAATACTTGTAATAATATTTTTTCTTTACAAACCTTATTATTAACAACAATAAATTTATTTATTGTAAAAAAAATAGTAATAAATTTATTTTATATAATTAAAAAGCTACATTTAAAACTTATATATTAATTAATAAAATAATATTTTTTTAATTTAAATAATTTTTTTATCTGCATATATACCTAGTGAATAAATAAATACAAAGAGCCACATAACAAAAAATATTTCAAAGAACGTACACTGTACACATAAAGCTCCTTAAAGAATGCCTAGAGACATGCTTACCACATAAAGTTCTTGAAAGGATCAATTCTATTACCCGCTTTTAATGGAAACTTCAGATCTAATTTACATCTCTTTGACTTCCATTCAATTTCTGCATTTAAACCTTATTAGATGAATTTTTTGTAGCGTTTATTTCTCACTACCTTGTGTTGTTATATAGTTTCAACTGCTCTGTGTAGTGTATTTTTGTTTTAGAAATGGATGGGATTTTTGGATACGTGAATGGAAATTTTGAAGTATCTTTGGCAGATTCCACCATGATGTGGATTGTGCACTATGCCATGAACAAAGCTCAAGAGAAGATGAAGGCAAAAACAGGAGTCATAGAGCGTTTGAACGAGATATCAAAATTCTATGAGTTGGCAGTGATGCAACTTGAAGGTTGTCTAAGCATTGTTCATGCAGAGACTGAAAGCAGTTTTCTTGAGAGCAACCATGAAGAGGTACTTGATGACTTGAGAGACATAAAAGATCGCCTTCAATGGCGCCTCAAAGAATCTGAATTAGCCATAGTGGAGAAGGACAAAGAGTTGACACAGAGATTAGAGAATGAGTTGCAACTCAGGCATGCTTTAGAGCTCAAAGAAAGACAATTGGTTTCTTTGGGTGTCAGCAATGGAAATGAAACAAGTAGTCTCAATGCTGAGAATGATCAAACACGAAATGAACTTGAGGATGGCAATGGTGATGGTGATGGTGATGGTGATGGCGGCAATGACGATGGTAATGGTTATGGTGATGGTGATGGTGATGGCGATTTCTATGAGTTGAGGACTAGTCTGGATCAACAAAAGCTTGAGACACATGACATGTTAAGTGAGTTGGAACATAATGGCATTGGCAGGAAAAAGATTGATGAGATGGGTTCTGACATAGACATACTAAAGCAGACTATGGATCTTGCTTTTGTGAAGATGCAATCTGCACTTGCCTTGCGTGAGATGGGCTCAAAAGAGAGGGAATGGAAGTTGACGATTGAAAAAAATGTGATGTCAATATTAATTGGAAGCTTCATGAGGGAGTTCCAAGAGGACATTGAAGCAGAATTGAAGAGGGATGAGAATCAGGTTCTGAAAGTTTGGAAGAGGCATTGGCCACGATTGATGAATGAGTTCACAAGTTTACAGCATGAACTTGCCATTTTCCATGAAACATATCCTGAGGATTCTGATTGTTCATCACTTTCTTCCCCCATAAAGCCTTCTTCTCCATCAAAGCCTTCTTCCCCAGAAGCAAGTCATGAAATGGCCAACAAGTTCTCTCAAAAGATGGAAGAGATGGATAAGGCACCAGGAGAGGAAGAAAGTGAAGATGGAAGCAACTATGTTGCCAAGTTGATAAAGAGCCATGAGTCTATTATTCGCCGAAAGAGTGAAGAGAACAATTTGAGTAAGCATGGAATATTACAAGAGAGAAAGGCCTCATACACCAGGAGAAGAAAAGAACTAAATCGTGTGAGAGAAAGAATCCATGTTGTCACTGAAAAATTGGACAGTTTTATATATCGGAATGCTAGACTTGGTGAATCTCTTTTCAACCAAAGGCCTATTCTTGATGTGGAACCATTTCAAGGTAGGAAGGAGGTTGCAAGTTTGAGAAGTGCTGAAAATAAGGTAAAAGGGGTCTGTGATGATGGAAGTAAAAAACAGGAGGAATTAATTTGGGTGTCACATATAGAAAAGGAACATAATACAATGCAAAATTTGATATCAGATATGTGTGGTTCTATAGATGATAAGGTAGAAGAATTCAATATTAAATTCTGCAATTTTGACTTGGAGAAGCAAATACAGGAACATGTATATAAATACTACTTAAGGGAAGTAATCAATGAATGGAACGAGAATATTGAAAAACAAACAATCAAAAGGAAAATCAGAGATGACATAAATTTGACTGTCTTGTCTGAGGCAGTTATGGATATCAATGCAAATCAAGAATTTTCCTTAACCAAGGAACAAGGTGGAGAAGCTGAGGGTTGTTGTATACAGTGCTTGACATGTAGCAACCAAGAAGATAAAATAAATAGCACCATAAATGAGGATATATGCAAGATTATCTTTAGGCAAACTGTTGACGAATTCAACAAAGTGATTGTAGGTTGCAAAGCAGACAGTGGCATAAGAGAACATATAAATCAGATTGTCTTTGGTGAAACACTGAAAATTTTTGTCAATATGACAAGTTTTGCTTCAAAGAAGAGAGAAAACGGCATTCAGAATAATTTCCTAGATAAGTTACATTTTATAACCATAGAAAGTTTTCTGAAGGAAGATGTGTGTATGGTTGTATTCAAAGCTATGATTAAGGAATGGGAATTGAAACTAGATAACTACTATGTGGAGAATTACATTAGAGAGATGATAAACCAAGTTGTCATGGTTGAGACATTGAATGATGCATTTCTATTTACCATGGAAGTTCAAGGCAATAGCATAAAAGATAATTTCTCTACCTCTACCATGATGTTAAACCAAGGTTGGAAAGTTGAGGGAGAAGAGAACTTAACAATCATATTATTGGAGTCTCTACTTAGTTGTTTTGAAGCAGAGGAGAATCTGATGCTAAGTGCAAAGAGTGAGATCAAGGAACAATGCAGGGAACTTGACTTGGGTTCAGAACGTGGAGACCTCCATGAGCATGAAATATTTGAAGATTTGATAACTGGGGAAGAACAAACATTCTCTTCACTCACCAGCAAGGTAGAAAATGTTTTGCAACAATTAGGTATAGGCAAGGCACTTCTAAAGGAATTAGGAACCAGCTTAGGGCATAGTCTACGTGACTCAGAAAGTTTTCAAAGTCAGATGTCAACTAATGAAGAAGGTCAATTGAGGCTGTCTTCTTCTGCTTTCATGCCCCTTTTGAATCTTATACTAACATTTGCAGAATTTGGGGCAATGATATGCCAGAAATTTGAGATGATGAATGTGAGGTAGGTATTTCACTGGTCATTGTTCATCAATATTTTTCAGATGCATACCATTTACCTATTATCTAATGCTTCCTTCCCAAAACTATGCATACAGGTTGGAGAAGATGAAATGTTGTTTGGATCCTGTTATTGAGTTGGTCAATTGCTTGAGAAGCAAGACATTAATTTATCAAAAGGCATTCTTTAAAAGGTGCCAGAATCTCCAAAAGGCTGAAGCTGAGGTCTGTAGCATAACTCAAACTTTGTACATTCATGAAATCTTAGCGGCATTTTGTTTTTCTCTTCTTGGTTCATGAACATAATTCACTCAGTGTTCAAAAGACACTCATAATCAAAGACTAATCTGCATTTGCGGAACATGACTTATCAAACATTATTTTGTTTCCTGTTTTCAAAAGTTTGTATAGGAAACAATAAAAAAAAAAAAAAAAAAAAAAAATGAACATAGAAAACTATATAAAATTGTTTTCATTGTTTCCTATGCAAACTTTTGAACAAGATAAAGACAATGTGACATCTCTGTCATTAAAAACAAAACAAAAGAAATTTTTTTTTTCAAATCAACCTGCCCCTAATATTTCTGGTTAGTGCCTTCTTGGAAATTCTTGTATCATTGGAGAATACTAAAAACTAAAGTTTGTTAAAATATAGGTTGATCTTTTAGGTGATCAAGTGGATGCACTTTTAACATTACTTGAGAAGATATATGCCACCCTTCATCAGCATGCACCAGCTTTGCAGCAATACTTTGAGGTGAGAAGTTCACATTCTATTTGATTTTCCAGTTAAAACTATCCTTCTCTCAAGTAATTTTGGAAGATCATGCTCTTAGTTTATATATTAAATTTTGATGCACCTTTTTAATTATTTTTCCAAATTTATTTGTTCTAAATTTTCAACAGGTCTATAACATTTTGGAGTTAATAAAAAAAGAACTGATTAGTGGAGCTGTTGAGGCTGAAAGTGTTCTGATGTAAACAAATGTGTGTTGTACTTCTTTTCTAATTCTGTTTGCAAAAGGAGGGTTCCAAGCACATAAAAATTATGACCTCCATCAGAAAATCCAACAGAAAATAAGATCTCATCCAATTAACTCAAACAATCATCAATTTTTCTAGAAGTGATTGGAATGCAAAATTGCAAGGGAGGTCATACCAGTGGACCATCTGTTTATGCCAAGTGTAAATACTTTACAGTTGTCAATTAAATGCCGTAAAAAAGCTTATGGACATTATGAATCATCGATGTTATTTTATTTTTATTACATCTAAAATCATTTCCGAAATTTTGATTTCGTAAAACTTATAATGCAGCTTACTACCTACTTGTAGTACCCAGTACATAGGCCTGGACAATTTGTTGTTAATAATGTTAAAACACATTTTCTAGATAAATGATTAAAATAGGCTTGAACCAAATAAGTTTCAGAAGAGCTAAACTTAGCAATATTATTTCCTAATTCTTGCATACTTGGGACACATCAGATAGAGACATAGAGTGAAAACAAAGAAAAATAACAGAGAGAAGTATCAAAATCAAGTAAAGTTTTCATAACCAAACATCTAAGTAACGCATAATCTAAATACCATTAAAGCAAATAAAATTCCAAGTAAAAAGAAAAATAGATAATCATATTTGTGCAACTTTTTCTGTGGCTTTTAACTAGTCTATTACTATTAGTTTTTTCTTTAAAAAAATATACTAATATCCATTAAAAAGTAGTTTATGTACATCCTTAAGAGAACAGACTTGAATCAATGACAGAACCAAATATTTGAATAAGGCTTTAAGCCTTGCAGCCATTGCTGCCAAGTCAAATGCAATGAACAAATTCCATATTCCTTCACAAATGCTTCAGGCTTCAACCCCAAACTTTATGGCAAATCTCTCCTTTCCTTCAAATTCAGCACACATGATTCTATTGCAAAGCAGGCATGAGCAGGAAAACCCTCCAGAGAACTTTGATATATGTTCAAACATGAAAATTGAAAAAGGTATTTATGAGTGCAAAGCTAGTATATATTGCAGGATTTGCTCCACCACAATGCCACATGCAAATAGTTCAGCCACAACAAGTGCTACATTTGCATTTAATAGTTCCTTTTGACCACAAAGGTCAGGTTCTTTCTTGTGCATTGCCCATGCCATTGCTGGAGGGAGAACTCCATAAAGAACTGTCATGCAATAGCCCCCCTAGTTCACAATTAAAACATCAATAACTAGTTAACTACATGAACCTGAATTTGTTGCATGTGTATGAGGGTCGATTTGGATAAACTTCTCCGGAAACACATCAAGTGAAAAAAATAGAAGGAAAAAAATGAAACAAGTTTCTCCATGAGCTAAAATTAGTCTATACATAAGCTAAAATTAGCTTATATATAAGCTAATTTGAAATTTTTTGAAGTTACAAGAGAGAACTTCTACAAATTAGGTTATAGGGAAGTTTATTTCATTTTTTCTTTTTATTTTTCACTCTAGAAGTGCTTTTGAAGAAGTCTATCCAAATAAATCCTAAAGGTAAACCTACTTAATTTAGAAAGACTAAGCCCTTAATTTGTGAAAATCTTTTCTATTTTTATTTTCTGTTTCAATTTTAATTGCAAAAATGTCACATTATTTTAACTTTGTTTCTTATTTCAAAAGTTTGTACTGAACACAATAAAAATAGAAAATAATTAAAAGCTATTTTCACTGTTTTTTATATAAAATTTTCAAAATAGTAATCGGTAAAAATAAGGTGACATTTTTGTAATTAAAAGTAAAAAAAAAAATTCTCAAACCCAACTACCACTGAAACTTCCAATGACACACAAAGGAAAAGACCTCTTTCTCAGCTTACAGCAATATCTGTGGCAGCAGAGAATGCATCCGGAAATGTTGTTGAGACAAAGAGAGAGGGAACAACTACCAATGTCACAGCTGTGACATTAAATCTATTCCTTCCCCACCAATTCCCCTGTCCAAAGAGATTTCTTCATTAAAGTAAGCATAGTATGGCTCTTCGTTGTGTTATAGGGAAAATTTTGAAACAAATATGCTGTTCATAAGGATATTAAAGGTACATGATATGCTTTTGGACAAAACTTATATATAGTTTCTTGTTTGTGTTATTTTCCAATCATAATTAGAATTTCACCTTGCTAATCTATATAATCTTTTAATGTGCATTTTTTTTTTAGTGATTATCAAGGTGAAACTCCAATTCTAATTGGAGAACAAAACAAATAACACTTATAGAACTGTATGAAAGTTTTGTCCTTTGCTTTTACCTTTTCTGAGGAAGGCAAATTCCAGGTTCCATTTTTAATTTGCTCCTTGAAGAACTCAGAGAAGCTTAGGAGGGTGCCAATAAGTGATGTACCTAGTGCCAAAAGTGAGAAGGCAGCAACCATAATTGAAACACCATTACTTCTCAACCTAAAAAATTGACATTTATGTATTTTAGTTATTTGAGGTGAAATTAACAGTCCAAGTATTTGAGTTGGGACATAATTGGGAGAAGCTCTATCACTTGTGATGGGAGGAGGTTAAGAGAAGAAAAAAAAACTCTGGTTTTCTCCTTATTTCATGATAATTGATAATAGATAAGCTAGTAACAATACTTTCATATTCATAATATATTAACATTCCAATAGCGTCGTTTGATCAATGTAGTGAACTTCACCTAGTGAGATTAGACCTTTGTTGTTGTACTATACTACTATTAGTGATTTTTACACTAGGCTTCCCAAAATTGCCTCTAAAACTTTTAGTTATATATTAACAAAAATGTTCCCAAATCATTCTGCAGGGGCTGAATTACCTATATAACAACTCAACCGGATCAACCACTTGTTCTGCTTCAGCTGCAAGGCCAAGTGCAACTGCATCCCAGACAAGCACTGCCACCAGTGGCACAAGAGCACCAAGAAAAACTGAAGTTTTTATTCGACGAAGGTCAGCATCCAAATAAGCACAAAGAACTGCAAGGTTTTACAAGAAAAATGTTTTAGCAAAAATACTAGTTCTAAATAAATGTAACATAAATGTTTTCTCTCATTCTTACATGGGGTTATATCATGAAACACTAGGGAAAAGATAATGATTGGTATAGTTGGTGGAATTTTTGTCCAGTCACTAACGCTCCCAACTCCTGACCATCCCCCAAACACAACAGCTAGCACCTCAACAGCCAACAACAAACCTGATAACAAGAATCTACATTTGTTATGCATTCAAAATGTTACTCATCACAAAATTCAAGATTGAAACACAGCCATATAAAACCACCATAAGAGAAAACAAAATAGTCCAATATTTGGCAAACTCTCGTCAAGTGTGCACAATGCTAACTGTTGAGAATTTGAATCAGCATCTATTATTTGAGTTTATTTAGAGCTGGTGAGTGAAGCTAGCCAACCAGGAGTGGTTGAGAATACTCGTGACTAGGAGTGGCCGTGACCGGGATGGTCTAGAATACTCAAGTCCTAGAGAGGTCGAGAATACTTGGACTAGAAGTAGTTCTGACCTGGGTGGTTCATAATACTCATTGCTAGCCTAAAGAGGCTGATAAAAATATACTAACGTTGATGAGTGAAGTCAACAGGCTAGAAGTGGTCGACAATACTTTTGTACTTGATTGCATATTTAGTGGAACTCTTCAACTGAAGGAGACTGGACGTTGCTTTGTTTGAGTGAACCAGTATAAAATAACTTGCATTATTAATTCCTATTTCTCATATGCATATCTTCATTGCTGATTAAATCTTTGTGAAAAACTTCGTCCACCCAGAATCTCTTAGTGAAATCAATTTTCAGACGTAGACGCAAACTTTGTTTAATATATATTTAATTCACTGAAAAGTTTTATCTACAGTCTATCTTTAAATGAAACTATCTTGAAAAGGAAAATGTAAGAACCTTAATCATTACTAGTATATGAAACATTTTCCTTCAGCAGTCGATAAATCGTTCAGACGCAATGACCTTGTATTAAGAAAATTCTGCATAACCGTTTGGTATTTAAAAGTGCATTGGACGAAGAACATTACTCTTGCGAAAATGGTTTTAAAATGCCTTCGTACTCACACACACATATTCAACCCCCCCTTCTATGTGTTTTTCCGCTGACTTCACCTCACACTTATGACCAGGGATGGCACGACCCTTGGGTAAGTGATGCTAGAGGGATAGCGTGACCTTGGCATATTGTGGGATGTGTGAGGAAATTAACACGTATCACTTATGTCAGGATTGCACGACCTTGGGCAAGAGATGCTACAGGGGTGGCGTGACCTTGGCATAGTGTTAATTGCAAGAGTTGTGATGGATTGGTGTGATTGTGAATTTTGATGTAAAGATGATGCATAATTGATAAAATTATGATATATAGAAATGCTTGTGAATATTTCATTGAGTTATGATGAAATTATATTATGGATTTTCCTTGTGTGCTTTACATATAGATGTTTTCTTTTCTCACCGTACAAATTGTGGATGTTTTAGGTGAGGAAGATTCGGCTATAAGTGGCATCTATAATGCCAACAATTGAATTGTGGGTATGCTCTGATATTGTAACATCGAGGCAGAGAATTTCTAGGACATGGATTTTTATATGGATTTGGAGTTGTAATTATTATTTTGAAAATAATTTGTAAACTCTTAGGTTTTATTTTCCAAGTTTTATTTTCAATTATTTTAGATATTGAAGAACAGTTATGAGGATTTTATGTGAACCCTTTTTACCAACGTTGAAAAATTTATTCGTTAGTTTTATTTACATTATTACAAGATATGTATTGGGGTAGTAAGGGTGTCACACATTTGGTCACCTAATTTTGACATGCATCCTTAACTTCATCTGAAAATCTGTTGTATCTATGAGTCATCTTGATTTGTAGTCCACTTTCTATGCTATGAATTTTTTGTTGTTTATTGTAATTAAAACATTTTCATGTTTGTTGTGCCTTAGGATGGGATGCTTGCATTGAATTAGTCTATGGTAATTTTGTTGTGTGGTAAGTCTATGCATCTATCTCTGTATATTTTATGAAATTATTAAACTAGCCATATTTAAGTGAGATCATGATTAATTTTGTTAATATATCATGACCTGTACAATTTTTTTTTTCTATTTTCATGTGATAATTAGCCTTGATTGAGATATTTCATTTGCTAAAATACTTGGACTAGAAGTAGTTCTGACCTGGGTGGTTCATAATACTCATTGCTAGCCTAAAGAGGCTGATAAAAATATACTAACGTTGATGAGTGAAGTCAACAGGCTAGAAGTGGTCGACACCTTCTAATTCTTCTTGAATTCCAACACTAACAACAATTCACAAGCATGTGATGGATTGTTTTGCATTTGTTTTGTAGAGATATTTTTCAAGAAGTATGATATCTTGTTGTGTACCAAGTATTCACACACTTTCTACATTAATATAATATTATCCACTTTGGAATTAATCCCTTGTGAATTTACTTTTGGCCATTATTCAAAAGGCCTCATATTAATGGAGATTATATGTGTTTATAAACCCATATTTTTTCTACTATTCTAACAATGTGAGACTTTGTTTTATATTCCAACAGTATGCATAGCTCAAAACTTTATGTACCAATCATGGAAGCAGTTAGATACTGATTGACTCGATCAGTGGCGCGAGTTCCCCAAATTGAGACAAGCATTGTGAAGAGAGTAGTGAATAGAGAGCCTGAAACTGGTGCTGGGAGATTGATGAGTTGGAAAAGGATCTCCCCAGACTTGGAACTATATGCAACCATGGAACTATATCCCAAGAAAACATAGGCAATAGTAGCTATTGTTCCACCCCAGTCCCCAAGTGTTTCTTGGGCCATGGTTCTGATAGAAATAACATTCAACTCATTCTCTTCCTCTTTCCTTCCTTTCTTACTCATCAAAGCCACATTAATTTCAACCAACAAAAATGCTTCAATCAGGAGAAAAATCCAACACACTATTATTGATATAGAACTTGGAATAATTCCCTGCAATTGTGCATAAATGTTTGGACATTTCAGCATGAAAAAGACAAACACTTGACTATTTTTTCTGGAGTAAAATATGTTTTTGACCTTCAAAATATCTTGAAATTAAGTTATAGTCTCTAAAAGTTTAATACATTTTTAGTCCATGTAGGATGTTTTTATAAAATTGGGATTAAAAATGTATTAAATTTTTACATGAACCAAACCCAAATTTTTGAGAAATTATTAGATAGTCCAAGAACACCAAGTGTTTTTAGTCCCAATCAATTACTATATGACATATATTTAAATTTTTAATAAAAAATAATAATAACACTTGATTACATGTCATAAAAAAAAAAATGGTTAACGGTCATGTAGTCCATGACTATCTAATAGTTTTTCAAATTTTGAGGGGTGAAAAAACATATTTTACCCTTTTTTTTTCTTCTTTTTTACAGCTCAAAGAGAAAAGGGGAGTACAGCAGGTAAGGCTTTCTCTGGAAGTGCAAGAATTCCAGTACCAATACTAGTGCCAATAATAAGAGCAACTGCACCAGCAACAGTACCCTCTTTCTTCTTGGCTACTTTGCTAGCTTTTTTGCTTAGTCCAGTGGAGAATTTCTGGGCCTTTCTTGCACAAGGCTTCCTTCTTATCACTGGCTTTTGCTGTTGCCAGTGGAGGTAGCACAAACAGTTGTGGTAGCTTCTGCTGGTAGGAGTTGGAACTCAATATTTAATCATAAAAGATGCAGAGAAAGAAGAGCAAATATAGTCCTACAAGACAACATTAGAGAATGAATTATGATAAATCATGTCATACTTGCTCAGTTTAAAGACAGTTGTTGTTGTTGATGTTGTGCTGGTGGTGGTGGTTGTGTTCCTATGTGGATTTCTTGCCCATGATGAATTTGCTTTTGCATTTGTCTGGATTTTGAGACGCAAATGTGAAGAGGGAGATGAAATAATGCACCTTGAATCCATGACAAAAGCTGCAAATGGTAAGGTGAATCAATTCTATGGTGTCCAAATATCTTGCAAAATGGTCCCTACGTTAGATTGTAAACAGTCACGTGTCTATATCCCCTTTCCCCCTAATAAAACCATAATAATAGGAACATTTCCTTATAAATTTTTTTTTGTCCTATCGTAAGGTTGAGTTAAGCAAATTATTATTAAGATGATACGAAAATAAATCATAACATTTTTTTAAACCTATCATATCATCCATTATCAAACTAGTTTTAGATGTTTAATATTGTAAATTTCACATTTTAAATATTCGACTTTCAAAAAAAAAAAGTGTATTAAAGATTTTACATAACTACAAAGACACCAAAATAAAGTGTATATATAAGTAAGAAAAAAATTATCATATTACACGTCACTTAATTACACTTTCTTAAGCTTCTTGTATTTTTTTTTAAAGGTTTTTGAAATTTTTGTGTCTATTAATTTTTTGTATTTTTGAGTAGTTGTAATTATAAGAGTAGTTTTTAAGTAATTTTGAAAAGTAAAAAAGAATGAATAAAAATGGTGGAAAGAAAAAGAATAATTTAATAAGCAATTATAAGGATAAAATTGTCCAAAAAATTATGTACATCAAATGAGGTAATTCCTTTTATTGGTAGGATAGATTTTAGTCTTTGTAGTATATTTATTATTTTATTTTTGTGTTTGTAATATGTGAGATTCTTTATCTCACATATAACCATAAGCATAATAATTGAATATTTTAACAAAACCTGAGTGCATGCATAAATAACCAACTAAATAAGACCAAGTTTAGAAGAGGATCTCACCTAACAACTAAACCTATCACTGCTCCAATAAGAACATCTAATGAAAATCATTAAAATCATGCTTTTAAAATATAATTGAACAACATTGTTGTGCATGGTAGTACATGGTTCTTATTCATAATTGGCAGCGACAGATGTTGGAGTAGAGTAGTTTAGGATTGAGTTGCCTATTTGTTGGGTTATAAACTAATTGGGTTGAGGTGCAACGTTATTCCCTCATAATTTATATTTATTTAATATAGTCTTATTTCTAATGAATATAATAGAAACACAGTTGTTTTTCTCCTAAGGATATATGCACATTGTCGAACCTCGTTAAACCATTGTTTATGTGTTGAGTGTTTTACTCTGTTGTTTTAGAATCTATTACTAGCAACTAGTATCAAATGGGGCTTAATTTGGTGCAAAATTTGAAGTTGGAAAGTACAATGAGACTAAAAATTCAAATTATGACGAATGAGGATTAAGGATTTGTTAGCAAAGTAAGGCTTTCTAAAGGCATTATGCGAGAAGAAACTTGACAAAATGGATCAATTGGATTGGGAGGAGTTACAAGAAAGGGTTGTGGGAACCATGTAACTATGTGATGGAAGTACTTGGAGAGGATTGATATTCTTCCAAGTTTTCCATGCAAGGACCGAAATGCTCCATGAGGTTGAACTCCTTGAAGGTGGCGGAATCACCTTAGAGGATTCTCCAATGGTGGAGAAGCACCTAAGAGAGGTTCGGTTACCTCTTGAAGAAGTGAAGAAACTTGAGAAACCAAGCTTCTAGGAGAAGGAACCTTGAGAGAGAACCTAAGAGAAGGTTTCTCATGAATTTTGACTCTTGAAAATGAGAGAGAATTCTGAATTCTTTTTCTCATAAATGTCCAAAAGTGAATACAAGAGAGGCTTTTACAAATATATAGGGAGAGGTAGCTTCTAGGAGAAGCTAACCTTAACCATGGTTCACTAGGAACCATGGTAAGGTGTAACTAACCTTCCACGGTTTAGAAAACTTGTAGGAGAAGCTAACCTTGACTATGGTTCACTTAAGAACCATGGTAAGGTCAGCCTAACCTACCAAGGTTTAGAAACTTGGATGGCAAGCTTCAATCCTTGAAGGAGGAACAAGCAATTTCGGCCAAAACTAAAGAAGAAGGCTAGGCGGCCAAGGCTCCAATTTGCTCCATGATTTATTTTGAAATTCTTTGATTTGGTTTAGCTTGCATTATTAATTCCTATTTCTCATATGCATATCTTCATTGCTGATTAAATCTTTGTGAAAAACTTCGTCCACCCAGAATCTCTTAGTGAAATCAATTTTCAGACGTAGACGCAAAGCACCAAAAAGTAATATCAATCCCAAAAGAAAAACAGAGAGATCAGAGATCGATTCTTCATAGTCAAATCTACAATGTATCATTGTATTCATCTCTGTAGTCTAAGGTGTTCTGAGTGTATCTTAGGAAGGAGACCTTAGCGAGTGTTGTAATATTATGTATCCTCTTTGTAAAGAGTAACCCACACACTCAGAATCTCTGTAGGACTAAGGTAGTGAAACGTTAGTGAGTGTAGAAATCTATGTATCCTCTCTGTGAGAGTAACCTAAATACTCAAACCAAACCTGTCTAGCCAATTTTGTAAAGCCTGAAGAGGCTAGGTAAAAAACACCGTAAAGCCCGGAGGGGCCTGTCAAGGAATACTCACTACGAGCCTGAAGAGGCTAATTAAAGAATACTAGCACTGGTGAGTGAATCTGGCAGGCCAGGAGTGGTCGAGAATTCTTGGACCAGGAGTGGTTCTGACCTGAATGGTCCATAATACTCACTGCTAGCCATAAGTGGCTAATAAGAATATACCAGCGCTGGTGAGTGAAGCTAGCGAGCCAGGAGTGGTCGAGAATACTTGGGGAACCAGAAGTGGTTTGAGAATATTAGAGCTGGTGAGTGAAGCTAGCCAACCAGGAGTGGTTGAGAATACTCGTGACTAGGAGTGGCCGTGACCGGGATGGTCTAGAATACTCAAGTCCTAGAGAGGTCGAGAATACTTGGACTAGAAGTAGTTCTGACCTGGGTGGTTCATAATACTCATTGCTAGCCTAAAGAGGCTGATAAAAATATACTAACGTTGATGAGTGAAGTCAACAGGCTAGAAGTGGTCGACAATACTTTTGTACTTGATTGCATATTTAGTGGAACTCTTCAACTGAAGGAGACTGGACGTTGCTTTGTTTGAGTGAACCAGTATAAAATAACTTGCATTATTAATTCCTATTTCTCATATGCATATCTTCATTGCTGATTAAATCTTTGTGAAAAACTTCGTCCACCCAGAATCTCTTAGTGAAATCAATTTTCAGACGTAGACGCAAACTTTGTTTAATATATATTTAATTCACTGAAAAGTTTTATCTACAGTCTATCTTTAAATGAAACTATCTTGAAAAGGAAAATGTAAGAACCTTAATCATTACTAGTATATGAAACATTTTCCTTCAGCAGTCGATAAATCGTTCAGACGCAATGACCTTGTATTAAGAAAATTCTGCATAACCGTTTGGTATTTAAAAGTGCATTGGACGAAGAACATTACTCTTGCGAAAATGGTTTTAAAATGCCTTCGTACTCACACACACATATTCAACCCCCCCTTCTATGTGTTTTTCCGCTGACTTCACCTCACACTTATGACCAGGGATGGCACGACCCTTGGGTAAGTGATGCTAGAGGGATAGCGTGACCTTGGCATATTGTGGGATGTGTGAGGAAATTAACACGTATCACTTATGTCAGGATTGCACGACCTTGGGCAAGAGATGCTACAGGGGTGGCGTGACCTTGGCATAGTGTTAATTGCAAGAGTTGTGATGGATTGGTGTGATTGTGAATTTTGATGTAAAGATGATGCATAATTGATAAAATTATGATATATAGAAATGCTTGTGAATATTTCATTGAGTTATGATGAAATTATATTATGGATTTTCCTTGTGTGCTTTACATATAGATGTTTTCTTTTCTCACCGTACAAATTGTGGATGTTTTAGGTGAGGAAGATTCGGCTATAAGTGGCATCTATAATGCCAACAATTGAATTGTGGGTATGCTCTGATATTGTAACATCGAGGCAGAGAATTTCTAGGACATGGATTTTTATATGGATTTGGAGTTGTAATTATTATTTTGAAAATAATTTGTAAACTCTTAGGTTTTATTTTCCAAGTTTTATTTTCAATTATTTTAGATATTGAAGAACAGTTATGAGGATTTTATGTGAACCCTTTTTACCAACGTTGAAAAATTTATTCGTTAGTTTTATTTACATTATTACAAGATATGTATTGGGGTAGTAAGGGTGTCACACATTTGGTCACCTAATTTTGACATGCATCCTTAACTTCATCTGAAAATCTGTTGTATCTATGAGTCATCTTGATTTGTAGTCCACTTTCTATGCTATGAATTTTTTGTTGTTTATTGTAATTAAAACATTTTCATGTTTGTTGTGCCTTAGGATGGGATGCTTGCATTGAATTAGTCTATGGTAATTTTGTTGTGTGGTAAGTCTATGCATCTATCTCTGTATATTTTATGAAATTATTAAACTAGCCATATTTAAGTGAGATCATGATTAATTTTGTTAATATATCATGACCTGTACAATTTTTTTTTTCTATTTTCATGTGATAATTAGCCTTGATTGAGATATTTCATTTGCTAAATTGGTTGGAACTTAGAATAATGATATATGTAGACTTCGCTCATTGGTCTTGTGTTCCTCCATTTTTTTTTACTTAAACAAGTGTAGGAATCTATACTTTAGTTAAACTCTCAAGTCTCAATTGCTTTTAATCAATACTTTAGTTCTTGATGCATTAGTGTTTAGTGCAAGTATTTTATTATCTCCCAATTAGTATGATTGTTTAGAAATAGAGATAAAATAATAATTACAACTCCAAATCCATATAAAAATCCATGTCCTAGAAATTCTCTGCCTCGATGTTACAATATCAGAGCATACCCACAATTCAATTGTTGGCATTATAGATGCCACTTATAGCCGAATCTTCCTCACCTAAAACATCCACAATTTGTACGGTGAGAAAAGAAAACATCTATATGTAAAGCACACAAGGAAAATCCATAATATAATTTCATCATAACTCAATGAAATATTCACAAGCATTTCTATATATCATAATTTTCCCAGAATCTCTTAGTGAAATCAATTTTCAGACGTAGACGCAAACTTT